AAGTCCTCTATTTCAGTGTTTCCTGTACCTGCTTCTGATGTTTGTGACTGCATTTTGCTTTTTCATTTTCCCATTTTTTTCCCACTTTTAATCCCACTAGTCTCAACTGTTGGTATTATGTATCTTAGGGTCCTATTGTGAGGTTGATTTGTGCCCATTTGCTGGGTCCCACAAAGAAAAGGTGGCCCATTCTCTTATATTCCTTCTGCAGGGCCTGTTGGGTTAGTCCTATATTCTTCCTGGGCTGACAGGCCTATGAATATTGATGTAAATCAAGCCTTAGTTCCTGTTGTTATTACGTCTTCAGGTTGTTCCAAGTCACCAGCTCTCCCTGTTTAGTGTTTGTCTCGCTTGGCATCCTGCTGTGTCCCTGGGTGATCATAGGCCTTATGAATTTTCTGTGTGTTGGGAAAAGCCTTATTCACACCCTTCTAAACCTGCCTGATGTTCTCTGTGTGGAGGAAGGACTCACTCTTGCCAAGCTCGTCAAGGGTCTACTTCTGGAGGGAACTTCACTATTGCTCCTGTTTACCCACTGAAGGTGGCAAACTATTCCTATTTTACTGCAAACTCACCGCACTGATGAAGTTTGGTGAGTTCTTCTGCTTTGATAGGGGTTACTGAGTCTCCTGTTAACACAGTATGGTTAATCCTTTGCAGTCTAAGGTTCTAGGGGGAGGAGTGGGAGCAGAAGACCAACAGCAATACCAGGTCCAGGAGGTGAGGGAAGGTTCCCAATGTCAGTGGCAGGACTGCTGGGGCGTACGTAGGAGGCCCAGTCCTGGGCGCACCACTGACTGGAGGTCCTGGGTCCCAAGGTGGGCCACTAGGACTGCAGGTCAAGAGGAGGGACCTGGCTCTGCCCTGGCCCTGCAAGCTTCACTGGCTGGAGGTCCTGGGTCCCCAGGAGGACTGATCTTTAAAAAGGGCAGGAAAATGGTGTTATATGTTTATTTGTACTTTATATTTTTTTCAATGTAGTTTGTCCTTTGGGTAGATTGAAATTTTTCTTTAGTATTATATACATTTTGCTGAAAAACTTACTAACTTATGCTTAAGTTTATCAGCAGTAAATTTTCTAAGCTTTTATGTGTCTGAAATATTTTTGTATTACCTTACTTATGAAAGGGAGTCTCACTGTGTATAGAATTCAGAATTATACTTTTAAGCTACCACTCCATTGTCTTCTAATTTGTGTAGTTCTAGATAGAAGTCTGCTGAATTTTTTCTCTTATGTAATATGTAGTTCTTTTCTTCTGGTTTGCCTTTAAGAGATCTTTTTTTTGGTTTTCAATAGCTTGACTGATGCATCCAGATCATTGCCTGTTTCCTTTGCTTGAGGTTCTCTAAGCTTCATGAATTTGTGGCATCATATCTTTCATTATAGTTGGGGAAGTTCTCCGTGGTTAACTCCTCAGATACTGCTCCTTTCTTCTTGTCTGTCACTTCTTCTGGATTTCCATTTACATCTCTGTTAGACCTCTGTTAAACTCTGTTCCTTCTGTGCTTTAGGTGCTGTGCTTTAGGTCTTCCCATTACCACTTTTTCGTTGCTTCTTGTTTTAGCTTGAATAATTTTTTGATCTACAGCTTCATCGAGTCTTTCCTTGTTCTGCCTGAGGCAGCTATTTAACCTGTTGAAATAATTCTTTATCTTTGATACTGTATTTTCTTATTTCTGCATTTACCTTTAACTCATTAGTTTCCCTTTTTAAAAACTACCATACCACATCTGTTAATGGATATTAATCACTTTGTCCATTAGGTTATTTAATAAGTTAATCATAAAGTCCTTACCTGGTAGTTTTAATGTCATTCAGTATCATTTGTTGTTGTTTTTTGGTAATCTTTTCTTCTATGCATCTCAGTTTTTTATTGAATGCTGAACTTTACAAATAGAAGAACAGTAGGGATTGAGATTAGCAGCATTCAATCTCTAGAAATGAGCATACTTTTATGTTGGGCTTTTAGTGTGTAGTAAAAGTCAGACTGAGTCAGGATTTGGCTCATATTTTATTACTAATCTTAATATCATGCATCCCCTTCTTAAGATTCCTCTAGTAGTAGTCTATTCTTACCTTGTGCTTGGGGAAGGAGAGTACAAGAGGGCTTTTCTTAGTGGTGTTTTTGCCTTTTTCTTCAGTCTCTCAAGTCACCACTACAGAATGTAACAAGGCTGAAGATATTGGTGGGTTGCACTTTTTCCTCTGGGTGAATGTCATTGTGGAAAACTTAAGTTTTAAAGTATATTTCTAAAGGTGACAGTTTAGAGTCCTTCATAAATTAGATTATGAAAATATTTTGATTACCTGCTATGAAAAGGCTTAAAAAATGAGCCTACATTCAGAGATATAAAAGTTTAGGGTAAAGACGCTTGGAAATTATTAAGTGATCAGTGATGATACCTATTTGAGTAGCATAATATTAAAGTTACAGAATTATTTTGACTATAGAAAACCAATTTATATGGACTTGCACAGTAACTATTCTAATGTATTAAATTATGTCACTTTTTTAAAAGGTACACATTTTCTTTTGTTTAAATTCTATTAAATACTCCTATAAAATATTCTCTCATCTTATTTCTGTGGCTGTTTTGTCAACAAAAAAAATTGCAAAAATTTTCCTATAATGTTAGTTAATATTTTCTGAACTCAGGTAAGTGTTATTGTATTATGTGCTTTGTTTTTCTTTTCCTCTCCCTCTCTAACTTTTTAATAATTGCTACTATAGAGATTGAGTTTGTGCTCTGTAACCAATTTATGAAGTCGTAAGTAAAGAGCTTTATTGGAGACAATTCACGCATGAGATAGAGTAGAGAAAGTGAAAATAAGTATTGTTTCTGTGAAACACATATACGTCATTGCTTTCTAATTGTAGTTAGATTCTTGTTTTGAACTTTGCAGATTAACCAACTTAGTATTGATAGGAAGTTAACTTAGCTTTTTAAAATTCACTGCAAAAAGACTTCACATGGTTTCTAGCCCTAGTTTTCTGTCTTAGTGTCCTAACATAAGAAACTAAAGATTAGTTTACCTATTTTCTAAGATTTCTGCGTCCAGGTTTTAAGTATGTATTATATATGCACATATGTATGTATGTATATGTATGTGTGTGTGTGTATATATATGTATATGTTAGTATTGATACAGGGAATCACTCAGGCCTTCATGCTTGCCAGGCTGGAACTGTACCCCTAAACTGTGTCCCTGGCACAGTTTATATTTATATTTTGAAAGTCCATATTTACTCACTAATGAGAATCAAGTATTTTTTTACTTTTGCAATTTAATGATGGGTTATTACCATACATTTATGTTATTGAATGTCTGTATGTTTTACTGAGACATCTATACACAGATTACCCAATAATTTGAATAATTTATGTTATTGGAAAACAAAACTCTGGAAACCAGATTTCTAAATGAGGTTTGAACTGTGTTCTCACTAGTTCATCTAACTAGGTAGTCTAGTAGTATAAGAATTTTGTGGGGGGCTGGGGATTTAGCTCAGCGGCATAAGCGCCTGCCTTGCAAGCAGGCAGTCATGAGTTCGATCCCTGGTACTGATAAAAAGGAAAAAGACAAAAAAAAAAAATTTTGTGTTATCTTTCTAGCTAATTCACATAGAGTTCTGTTACGCATCTGTAGAAAGATAGAGTAAAACTAAATGAAGATGGTATGAAGCTAAGAGTTTCTTAAAATTTTTCAAACATGAAGCTGGTATATCTGAGTACTGACCTTACTTTTAGTCCTTAGGAAAGTTAGAATTTTTCATTGACTATCTTCATAGTTACAATTCTTTTGTGAGCTATTTTTTGTACTTTTGTTATACTTCTGGAGATGAACTGCCCATTTTATCAGCCAGTCCCAAAATTTAGCTGTTGAGCAATTGAAATGTGACTGAATTACCAAATGAGTCAATTGCTGTGCAGTGCTTGGCAAGCACAAGGCCCCAGGTTCGATTCCTGGTACTAAATAAATACATAAAAAACTGTAACTCTGAGCGTAGAATATACTTGTATTTTGTAGATTTACTACACAGGAAAGAATGTAAAATATTACATTAATTATATACTGACTGCATGGAAGAATACTATTTAAAATTAATTTCTAACTCATTCTTTTACTTTTTAATGTGTCTAGTAATACACAATACTGCACATCAGTCACACCTGTGATTCATTTCTGTTGGATAACACTGTCTAGAGAGTGTCATATTTAATATAAGGTGGTCAGATTTAAAAAGACATTCTTTTTCTTTTATCTCTTCCCATTTCTTAGTTTAAAGGTTATTCTCAAGCTGTGTTTCTGCTTCAGTGGTTATGATCCTTGTTCTGTGTATGCATTGTATATGCACATATAATCAAAAATACCTTGGACTTTATTTGCTCACTGGTTATAATGCTAAATTAGAATAGTGAGTAGAGAGAAGGAAAAATGAAATACAAATCAAGAATGAAAAAAGAGGGAACGTCTTTCTGGACAACAAAAGAATTCCATTTAAAAGATTTTAGTATTAATTTTTAAGACTTTAATATTAATTAATTTCATATTGTAACGCAGAATTATACTGTATTCCATATAGTTTTCTGTGATAATAGTTGACTTTGAAAACCACTGACATATAATATACATTTAGTGGTTTTCAAGCTGAAGGACAAAAATTTATACTAGTATCATTTAAATCCTGTTTCTCTTTTGTGAAAGTGGTGGTAAATTTCGTATTATAAAATTGGATCTAAAAGAATTCTTTTAGCTCCTACATAATGCCAGGGAGGATGATCTTTTTCTCTTAGAAAGTGGTTGTCTCTTTTCCCCATCCCACCCCATTTCCATGCTTATTTGTTTTGTATTTTCCAGAAAGACAGAGTAGTGCTCTGCTTTGGCTAACTTTCTATTTACAGATTAAGGAATCACAGATACTGTTATGTTTTGTATTTGAAATTGTAAGATACTTTTCCTTTTTGTTTTATTTTTAATTTAACTCTTTGTTTTACAGATGAGGGCAGGAGTGCAGTTGACCAAGCAGGTGGTGCACAGATTGTAATTGACCGTTTAAGGTCACTGTGCAGTAGAACAGATCCCGCCAATGAGAAGCTCTTGACTGTCTTTTGTGGCATGCTGATGAACTATAGCAATGAGAATGGTAAACAAAACTGAAAATTTGCTTTCTCTCTGGGGGAAAAATTAAACGTAATCTCTACTGTAGCATACAACAAGTATTTGAGGAATGATGAACAAAGGATTCATAAGTGGCATAAAAAATTAATAGTTAACTCATACTAAGTTACAATATTTCAAAATCACAAAATGGTCTAATTTGCTAAATGGGACTAATATTTGAAGAGTTACCCGTGTTAGAAAGTACCAAAGCCTAAATTTAATAAGTATGACTTAAGTTTTCTTGCTTTCTTGTTATAAACATTTTAAAAATAATATTAAAAGTAGGTTTGTATTTACTGCTTTATATTAGTAACAGTAAATTTGAAATATAAACATCTTTTAAGAAATATGATTATTTTAGTTGCTACATTTATTGGGAAGAATTCAAAGCAAAAAAAATTTTTTTTTGTCTTTTTCCTTTTTATCAATACCGGGGATTGAACTCACGACTGCCAGCTTGCAAGGCAGGCGTTTATGCCGCTGAGCTAAATCCCCAGCCCCTAAAGCAAAACTTTTAATCTGGCTGTAGAAAAATAAAATTCAAAATAATTGCAGCTAGCTCATTTTTGAAATTAAATAGCCTTAAAAAATAGCAGTTTCTTTTCCCTTTAAAATGTCTTACATCCTAGTCACAAATAATATCAATAATTTTCAGATACCTATATGATTGTTGATGAAGTGAACATAAAAATAAAAATATTAAGACTTTATAATACTTTTATGCCACAAAATATCATTCATCATCTTATATGAAATACTATATGGACCAAACATTCAGACTCCAGTATATTCCCTGGCATGTGTAACACAAGGAAGCTCTTTATGTAGGTTCTTTGGTTTTATAGTTTAGTTGTGATGTTTTTACAGAAATATATTATTTGCATATTGAATGTATTGTTTTATTGTTTACTTCAGGTGTTCACTAAACATGTAGCACTCTTGACTTTTTTCTTTTTCTTTTCTTTCTTTCTTTTTTTTTAACTTTTTTATTCATGTATCCAAAGAAATAATCTCAATACCTAAAAAAGAAAAAAAGTAACCCTTGATGCATGGCTACTAGCATTGGTACCTGATGTTAGTGTCAGTGAGTAGTGGGAAATGTGCCAGAGAGAGGAGCACTTATTTTGGGTAGGAGTAGGGACTGGTGGGCTTCTCTGGCTCAAAGTCTGTGTGGCAGTTAAGCCAAATACTGCCAAATCTGTCTGTTTGGGGGAGCAAGAAGCTGAAAACTCAGTTCCACTGTGACAGGATGTTTAAATGTTGTCTTCTATGTGCTTTTTTTCTTTTTCTTTACACTGTACATGCTAATTAGAAAGTATCTTTTAAGTTGCATCTCGTCTAGAGGTCACCAGTTGTAAATCTCTGATATAAAATTGTCCATAATATATATGAATATAGTGTGCCTTTCAAAAGTGAGAGAAAAAAGAGGCTAGGCAGGCTTGGTAATGCACACTTGTAATCCCTGAGTCCCAGCCTTGAGGGATGCTGAGGCAGATGGATCAGAATTTTAATTCTTGCCTGGGCAACTTAATAAGACCCAGCTTCAGACACTAACAACAGCATAGGGCTGGGGATGTAAGCTCATTGGGAAGGCCATGTGTTCTATCCTCAGTGCCACCAAAAGAAAAAAAGATACTTTTAGGATTTTTAGGGAACAAATGTCACTTTTAATTGTCATCTTCCTCCTTTTTCTATTCTGTTCAACATGAGCATCTTTATGTGTGAAGTGATTCTTTTGTTTGCTCTGTTTTATTATTAAACATTTTTATTGTTGATTACTTATTTTTTCTTTAAAGGTGCTTAAAGACTTAATATTGGGTCTGCTTTGCTAACTTTAGATCATTTGATACTGGTCCTGTCTACCGAGATGAGTTACTGAGAGCAGAAAAAAGTAAGGCTTTTAAAAGTGACACTTGAAGTTTCCTTTTGTGTGTGCTTACTAATTTTAGTACCCAAGGCTCTTTTAATTTAAGTAGAATATATGAGGAGTAAATATCTTCTTTTCATTCCTGCAGAAAAACTGGCTGCCTTTGTGCCCAATAACTTAAGCTTTACCCGTTGTTAGAGAGTTTCTAGCCCTCAAGATAAAATATTTTAAATATTCAAATAAAGCAGTACTGAAATATATCACAGAGATCCTCCAGCATAGTTTCCCTCAAGGAAATAGCATATCCAGTTTTTCAATCCATTAAATTAAATAGGGAATAAAATGTGTTTCTTAAACATGAAAAATAGATATATTATGAAAATAATATTTCACATAAAGGCATTTATGTATCATTTGAAAAAAACGTGTGTGTATTGATGTGTAATTTTGTTTTGTTTTGTTTTGTTTGTCTTTTTTCCTTTTTATTGGTACCGGGGATTGAACTCACGACTGCCTGCTTGCAAAGCAGGCGTTTATGCTGCTGAGCTAAATCCCCAGCCCCTGATGTGTAAATTTTTAACTAGCCCAAGACTTGATTTTTAAGCTGTTAGTTGGATGAGTATATCCTTTCGTTTCTGTATTGAAGAAGTAATTGAAACAAAGTGTGGAATGTCTGAGAAGTAAAAATTATAACTGCTTAGCCAGAGAAGTTGTATCGGTAATTGTATGAAATACTTAAATAGGATGAAAATAACACCTTGCTTAATACAAATAATAAAATTTATCCACTTATGCACAATTTAAAAGTTTTAGTAATTCTATAAAGAAGAAACTCAGCCCTTTAATTATGGATATTTTATTTTCTTAGTTTCGGTTACCGAAAACTGAAAATAAGATTTTATTGTGTCCTTGACTCAAACTGAGGTTATATCCTGATAAAAGCCATCACAAGTGGAAAAATATTATAAGTCAAAAGTGCACTTAATCTGCCTAATCTACTGGACATCAGAATTTAGTCTCACGGTAGGCATTTGCATTGGTCATGTGGGTAACTAGGAGTAGTGGCTCACTGCTTATGCTGCCCAGCATCACAAGTCAGTATCATGCCATATAGCACTAATCTAGAAAAGGATCAAATGTGTGTTTAGATTAAGTGATTAAGTATGATATCTCCTGAATGTGTATTGTTACTGTCTTAAGATTTAAAAAATCCTAAACCCAACCGTCATATCACTCAAACATAGCATTACAATATTTTAACTCAGAAAATAATTACTTTCTCATATATTAGTATTATCTAAAATTTTTGGTAGGCTTGTTTCTTGTGGACAGCCAGCAGAGGCAGGGGACCCAGCCAAGTCCACCTCTACCTGCCATCCACCACCATCAGAAAGCTTGCTTCCTGTGGGCAGCCTGTGCAGGCAGGAAGACACAGCCAGACACTCCCTGCCTGCGGCCTCTGTCATCACAAGGCTCACTTCCTGAGGGCAGCCAAGTGAGCAGGGAGACTCAACCAGATCCAACTCGACTTGCCAGATGCTGCCATCAGAAGGCTTGCTTCCCATGAGCAGCCAGCACAGGCAAGGACATGCAGCCAGGTAAGCCCTATGCTCTCACAGACCACAGTTGGAGACCCTTGCTTCCTTCATGCAGTCATCACCCACTGAATCAGACAAGCACACCCCTGTGTGCCTGCCACCATCACAGGAGTCTTGGGGTAGACACACAGGCTGAGAGAAAAAGCAGCCCCACCTTCATGTACCCCTCGTCATTGGGGAAGCCCCAGTGTTGCTGCACAGGTCTGGAGAAGCCTGTGCCGCACCTTGCTACCTCTCTGGGAACCTGGGGTCAGAGAAACCCAGATGTGTGTCCCATTCCCCTGCACACAGAGGAGCACCCAGCGTGGAAAGTGCCTGGGAAGAACCCAGGAGAATGTCAAGACAAAGGAGCACAAGGCAATCTCAGACCTCCAACCCACACAAAACAAACCTGGGAGATACAGTCATGAAATAAAATGGAAGTCACACACCTGAAATCTCCAAGAGGATAGCAACTGAAGTAAAGAAACAACTTCATGAGACTGTACAACTAGTCAGATCAGAAACAATGTCTCAGATAAAAGAAGAAATCACAAACATACTGAAAGAATTGCTTAGCATATCTAAAGAAGACATAGATAAAAGAGAAGCATAGGAAAATGGTGGAAACCTTGAACAATATAGGAAGGAATTATAATGCATGAAATAGATTCAAAGAGATATCCAAGAAACTAAAAAGTCAATTGAAAGCTGGCAGAACCTCTTGAAAGAGACTAAAGATAAACTTCCAGACTTTGCTGACAGGATTGCATCTAGTGATTGTAAAAGATCTCTTAAAAATAACAAGAAGCCAGGAAATAATCCAGTAGCCGCAAGATAATGCAAAGAAAAATAATTAAGAGTGATAGGTATCAGTGAAAAAGCACGGGTCAACACAAATAAAATAAAAATGCTATTTATAGAAGTAATAGTAGAAAGCTTCCCAAACATGGGAAAAGGATCTGGCATGCAGATAAGTAAGGAATACAGAATAGCCGTAACTCCAGATAGCCATAACTAAAGTAAATCTGTACCCAAACATAAAATAATCAAGATCCCAGAAATTCAGCACAAGAACAGAATATTACAAGCTGTTAGAGGAAAAAAAAAAGATCATCTATAAAGGAAAACCTGTAAGAATCAGGGCAGACTTGTCAACACAGACCATCAGGTCAGGAAGAGTTTGGAGTAAAATGTTTCAGATCCTGAAAGAAAACAACTTGCAACCCAGATTGATGTAGCCTGCAAAATTGTCTTTGAAAACTGATGAAAAAATACAATACTTCCATGATAAAGAACAACTGATGCAATTCATGACCACCAAACTAACCCTACAGAGAGTGCTGAAGTATACTCTAGAGAGAGATATAAGCTGACCATGGTTCCAGGAACAGCAGTAGAGGAGGATCACCAAAAAAAAACAGGCAACTGAATGAAAGAGAAAAGTGGAGAGCCAACAACAGGAGGACAGCAGGACAGAGACAAACCAATGTATGCCGGTTGTAACCATCAATGTAGGTGGCGTCAATTCATCAATAA